ATCACAAGAACACTAGAACACGAGAACCCTAGAATCGCGAGGACCTTCTTCTTCCCCTTCTCTTCGCATAATCAGAATCATAGTTACAAGCTGCGTTTTTTCAGTTTTCAGGGTTACTTTTCTGCGTCATCATACATCTAATTCGTTGACAGAATCATGGGAAGAAACACACATTCTGACGAAGAAGGTACCCAAATCTCTGCGCAAAAACCCTAATTTCTCTGTGCTAAATGCACGCCGTAATTTTTCCAGGGCTTCTTTTTTTTGTTGTTTTCTGGTTTGTCTAAAGATTTGATTTTTTTTCTCCGCGCAGATGATCATGAGCTCGAAGACGAGGATGTTGAGCCGGCTCATGGAGATCCAGTTGATAACAATGACAACGACGATGATGATGAAGAGGACGAAGGTAAGCGCTTTGTCCTCGATTTTTGGCTTCTCTGAGTGAAAATGGGTGTTCTTTGCTTTTGTTGTTTTTAGTATTTCCTCAGTTTCATCTGTTTTCTCTTTTGTGTCTATCGTTTTTGCTTACCATTCGTTATCTGAGAGCCATATAGTCTGATTGCATTGAAGGAAACTAGTGGTACGGCTTGGTTAAATACAGACTTGCATGCAGTTCATTGTCTAAAGACCGATTAATTTGCTCCATTAGAGGATACAGTGTCCGCATTTGGCAATAGAAAATAGAATTAGGAAATCGATATTGGATGAGCCGAAGGAAATAAAGTGAATGAACAAAAATGTGTTTGTTCTTAGATGTTTATCTGCTGGAAATTTTCCTCCTTCAACCACTTATTGTTTTTATCATCTCTGTCTCATGTGGATACTTGATTTTGAAATGTGGCAATATCACGTTTTCAGGTTCCTATGTAGGCTTCATGGTTTCTGTATAATAATGAGTTTTATATTCATCTGAGTTTTAGTTTGAGTCAGTTGTTTTTTTTTTTTAGTCTTCTGCAATTAGATTCATGCTAGTCTATTTCTATGATGTGAGAACCGTATATCTGTTTTCTAGGTGAGGATGAGTATGAGAATGATGGATTCATAGTGGGTGATGAAGAAGAAGAAGAGGAGGAAGAAGAGGAAGAAGAAAAGCAAGATAGCGATGAGGAGAGGCAGAAAAAGAAAAAGAGACGAAGGAAAAAGTAAATATTCTCTCCCTACTTGCTCTCATAAATTTCATCTTTCAGAACTTACAAAAAAACATAACGTTAATGTGCACGTGCAGGATGCATTTGATAAAATATTCCCTTAAATCACAGTAGTCTTTATATGTAGTTTTCATTTGCATTGTCTGTTATTAGTAGATAGCTGGGCTGTTATTGTTCTGATAAACCTTCCACTATGATGATTTTAATAGGGACGAAGATCTTGATGAAGATGATTATCTTCTTCTTCAAGATAACAATGTCAAACTCCAAAAGGTTACACATATTTGTGCACAATTATTCCAGATATGTACATACACTGGTAATATATTTGCGTTCTAATACATATTGTTTTTTTCATCTGTTATCATGACAGAGGAAGTACAAGAGGTTGAAAAAAGCTCAAAGGGAAAGGGAAAATGGTCAAGGGGGATCATCGGATGATGAACTTGATGGGAGTGGTGGAGCTGGAAGAAGTGCTGAGGACAAGATCAAAGACAATCTGTTTGATGATGTTGATGGTATATTCTCTTTAGCTTTGTGATACTCATATTTGGACTCGTGACACATAGTTGATTATGTACTCTCTGTATCTTGTAGATCTGCCTGATGATGTAGGCGATGAGGACGACTTAGCTGTGGAAGAAGATGTTGTCGGGAGCGAGGATGAAATGGCAGATTTCATTGTAGATGAAGATGGGAATGGTCATCCTAGGAGGTGCAGATTTTTCTTCTCTTTAATCTCTCTTATGATCTTATAGGTGTCGTATGTCACGTATAGTTTTTTTTTTCTGATCCGAAGCAACTTATTTTCAGGGGAGACGCAAAGAAAAAGAAATATAGGCAGGGATCAGATTTTAGTGCTATTCGAGACGCTAACGAAATATTTGGTGATGTTGATGAGTTCTTGTTAATTCGCAAAAAGGGTTTGGCGTCTAGTGAAAGGATGGAAAGAAGGCTCGAAGATGAGTTTGAACCAACTGTTCTTTCTGAGAAGTACATGACAGGGAAAGATGATGAAATCCGCCAACTTGATATTCCTGAGAGAATGCAGGTGCGCTCTCTGCTATAATTTTCTCTATGCGTCCTTAATGTCTAAGTTTTATTTGGTGTTCATGGGTGATGTAAAATTATCTTGTCAACTTTGACAGATATCTGAAGAAAGCACTGGAAGCCCTCCTGTCGATGAAATTAGTATTGAAGAAGAGAGCAATTGGATATATGCTCAACTTATTTCTCTAATAAAAGATTCTGATGGACAAGGACTTCAGACATTTGAAGGACAAGGTTTCTCGGTTAACAAGGATGACATTGCAAAATTTTTGGAGCTACATCATGTGCAGAAATTAGAGGTTCTTGGATTCATTCTCTAGTTGGATTTGTCCTTGAACAGCTCACGTTCATTATTATGCTAATATATTTCCTCAATCCTCTAGATTCCATTTATATCCATGTATCGAAAGGAGCAATGCCGTAGCTTGTTGGACTCTGCTGATGTTGATGACCTTAATATAGAGAAGAAACCTGAGACCAAGTGGCATAAGGTACGCAGTTTTCATGGAGATACAACAAGTACTCAGGTTAATTTTTATTGGCTGTGGAAACTTGGTGGATGAATGTTAAGTATTTGCCAATGTAGGTCTTCTGGATGATTCAGGACTTGGATAGGAAGTGGCTCCTTCTTCGAAAAAGGAAAATGGCGTTGCATGGTTACTATACAAAACGTTTCGAAGAAGAGTCTAGGAGGGTCTATGATGAAACTAGGCTTAACTTAAACCAGTATCTTTTTGAATCAATCATTAAGTCTCTTAAGGTAGCAGAAACAGAAAGAGAAGTTGATGATGTAGATTCCAAGTTCAACTTGCATTTTCCTGCTGGTGAAATTGGTATTGATGAAGGCCAGTTCAAGAGGCCGAAGCGGAAATCACAGTATAGCATCTGCAGCAAAGCGGGGCTCTGGGAGGTTGCAAACAAATTTGGGTATAGTGCTGAGCAATTGGGACTTGCATTGTCCCTAGAAAAACTGGTCAGTGTGGTTTTATATTGTTTTTGTCTGGATGTTGTTCTGATATGACAATTCTGATGCTAATTGAGTTGCAGGTTGATGAACTGGAGGATGCAAAGGAAACACCAGAGGACATGGCATTGAACTTTGTGTGCGCAATGTTTGAAAATCCTCAAGCTGTTCTTAAGGGTGCACGGCATATGGTACATTCTGCAGCAAAATTTATAATGAACTTTAGCTGGATTTAATACCGCAAGAACTTTTCTTGTCATCAAGGCTGAGATACTTCTTATTTTTTCTCTTTCAGGCTGCAGTTGAGATAAGTTGCGAGCCATCAGTCAAAAAGTATGTCCGTGGCATTTATATGGAGAACGCAGTAGTCTCAACTAGTCCAACAGCAGATGGGAATGGAGTAATAGATCCGTTCCATGAGTATTCTGGGGTTAAGTGGTTACGTGAAAAGCCATTGAGCAAGTTTGAGGGAGCGCAGTGGCTTCTCATTCAGAAGGCAGAAGAAGAGAAACTTCTTCAAGTAACTTTCAAGCTGCCTGAGAATTACATGAATAGGCTAATTAGCGACTGCAATGAACACTATCTAAGTGTTGGTGTAAGTAAGTATGCTCAACTCTGGAATGAGCAAAGAAAATTGATACTGGAAGATGCACTTCATGCTTTTATTTTGCCATCAATGGAGAAAGAAGCAAGATCCTTGCTAACTAGCAGAGCCAAAACTCGATTGCTTTCGGAGTATGGACAGGCTCTGTGGAACAAGGTGTCTGCAGGGCCATATCAAAAGAAAGAAATGGACATTAACTCAGATGAGGAGGCTGCACCCAGGGTCATGGCATGTTGTTGGGGACCTGGAAAGCCACCAAATACGTTTGTGATGCTGGATTCATCGGGAGAGGTGCTTGATGTGCTATATGCTGGATCCCTCACACTGCGATCTCAAAATGTTAACGATCAGCAACGTAAAAAGAGTGACCAGGATCGGGTTTTAAAGTTTATGATGGACCACCAACCGCATGTTGTGGCTTTAGGAGCTGTCAATTTGTCTTGTACTCGGCTGAAGGATGATATTTATGAGGTAAGGATTCATGTACCATAATCTTTGTTCGTTAACTCATGCTTAGGCAACATACAAGTTCTGAGTTTGAAGTTAAATTGTAGGAATTATGGTGATATGGTTCTGGAAAACCGTGATTATTGGTTTACCTAATTAGTTCTTTAGTATCTACTCTCTAGTGTCCAGGACTTTATGTTTTATCATCAGTCTTGTCAAAATCGCTATACCTTTTTCAAGTTTGACTGCCTTCCAGATAATGATGATGTTATATCTAATGGGATAAGCTGGTATTTCTGGTTATGTAGTTCAATTTGTGGTCCATTTTCCATTGCTGATTCTTTTGCATAGTAAATTTTGGTCATGTTTTTCTTTATCTTTTTGTATCAGGTCATATTCCAGATGGTGGAGGAAAAACCTAGAGATGTTGGACATGGGATGGATGATTTAACTATTGTTTATGTAGATGAATCGCTTCCTAGGCTATTTGAAAACTCTCGAATCTCGGGCGAACAGCTACCTCAACAGTCAGGGATCGTGAAACGTGCAGTTGCTCTTGGACGATATCTCCAGAATCCACTAGCAATGGTCGCGACTTTATGCGGTCCAGGCAGGGAAATTTTGTCTTGGAAGCTTCATCCTTTGGAGAATTTTCTTCAGGTTGACGAAAAGTATGGGATGGTTGAACAGGTTATGGTTGACATAACGAACCAGGTTGGAATCGACATTAATTTGGCAGCTAGCCATGAGTGGTTTTTCTCTCCTTTACAGTTCATTTCGGGACTTGGGCCTAGAAAAGCTGCATCCTTGCAGAGGTCTCTTGTAAGAGCTGGTTCGATATTTGTCCGCAAGGACCTGATAATACATGGGCTTGGGAAAAAGGTTTTTGTAAATGCAGCCGGTTTCTTGCGCATCCGGAGGAGTGGGCTGGCTGCTAGTAGTAGTCAATTTATCGACTTGTTGGATGACACCAGAATACATCCCGAATCATATGGTCTTGCACAGGAATTGGCGAAAGATATTTATGATCAGGATGTCAGAGGTGATTCCAATGATGATGAGGATGCGATAGAGATGGCAATAGAGCACGTGAGGGATCGGCCAGCCTCTTTGAGAAAAGTTGTCCTTGATGAGTATCTAGCAAGCAAAAAACGGGAGAATAAGAAGGAAACTTACAGTAATATCATGAGAGAATTAAGCTGCGGTTTCCAGGATTGGCGGATACCGTTTAAAGATCCAAGTCCAGAGGAAGAGTTTTTTATGATCTCAGGTGAAACTGAAGACACCATAGCTGAGGGCAGAATTGTCCAGGCCACGGTTCGGAGATTGCAGGGTGGAAGAGCCATATGTGTTTTAGATTCTGGGTTAACTGGGATGCTCATGAAGGAAGATTTCGCAGATGATGGGAGAGATATTGTTGAGTTGTCGGACCGACTGAAAGAAGGCGAAATCCTAACTTGCAAGATCAAATCGATTAAAAAGGAGAGGTATCAAGTATTCCTTATTTGCAAAGAAAGCGAAATGAGAAACAACAGGCACCAGCAGAACCAGAATCTAGATCCTTATTACCATGAGGATAGAAACAGCCTCCTGATTGAGAAAGAGAAAGCTCGAAAAGAAAAGGAGCTGGTGAGGAAGCATTTTAAGTCTCGGATGATTGTCCATCCTCGTTTCCAGAACATAACTGCTGACCAAGCAACAGAGGTTTGTACTTGTTATGTTCATAAGATAATCACATAAATAGTCTTGTTTTCTGCTGTTATTTTGTTTTTGGTTTTAAAATCCGTTGGTGCTATGATCTTTCAGTATTTGTCTGACAAAGATTTTGGAGAAAGCATTGTTCGTCCTAGTTCTCGAGGACTCAATTATCTGACGCTAACTCTTAAGATATACGATGGGGTTTATGCTCACAAGGAGATAATTGAAGGTGGGAAAGAAAACAAGGATATCACAAGCCTACAGTGTATTGGGAAGACCCTGAAAATTGGAGAGGACACCTTCGAGGATCTAGATGAGGTACATCGTTTCATATAATCTAATTGTACTGTTAACCAACATGTGTACTTAATGCTTCTTAAAATTCCTCTTACTCTTTGCAAGCTTGTTTTGAACTAATTCTGTGCATTTATAAATACTATTAACCACATCATCTCATAACTGCAGGTCATGGATCGGTATGTTGATCCTCTGGTCTCTCATCTCAAGACCATGCTTAAATATCGGAAGTTCCGAAAAGGGACAAAAGCAGAAGTCGATGAGCTTCTCAGGATCGAGAAGGGTGAAAACCCTGCAAGGATAGTTTACTGTTTCGGGATTTCACACGAACATCCAGGCACCTTCATACTGTCTTACATAAGGAGCACAAATCCACATCACGAGTACATTGGTTTATATCCTAAGGGATTCAAGTTTAGGAAAAGGATGTTCGAAGACATTGACAGGCTTGTGTCGTACTTCCAGAGGCATATTGATGACCCGTTGCAGGAAACAGTTCCATCGATCAGGTCTGTTGCTGCCATGGTACCTATGAGAAGCCCAGCAGACCGTGGCTCTTCAGGTGGAGGTGGTTGGGGTGGTTCTCAGAGTGAAGGAGGCTGGAAAGGAAACTCAGATCGCTCATCTGGACCAAGACCAGGTAGCGCTTTTCAAAGTTGGTTTATCGTTTACTTGCACAGAATCACTGGTTGGTGTTCATTGTTCGACATTCTCAGGCTTTTGCAGTCTGGATTTTGCTTTAATATTGTTTCTGTTTTCTGAGATTATGATGCTGCATGTTCAGTCTTAAAGATATTGTGCAAATGTGCTGCAGGGAGAGGCGGAGAGTACAGAAACGGTGGAGGACGTGGTGATGGGCATGCAAGTGGAGCGCCAAGGCCGTTTGGTGGTCGTGGTCGAGGCAAAGGAAGTGAGAGACGAGATGGAAATGTCGAATGGGGGAGTCATGGTGGCGGTGGGGCAGGCGGCAGGGGTCATGACTCTACCGATGAATACGGAGGCGGGAGCAGGGGCAGTAGGGGTGGTTGGGGAAGTGAGTCTGGTGGTAAAAAGAGTGACGGTGCAGGTGGTTGGGCTAGTGAGTCTGGTGGTGGCGGCGGCGGGGGTTGGGGAAACGATTCTGGCGGTAAAAAGAGTAGCGAGGATGGTGGTTGGGGAGGCGGTTCTGGTTCTGGTACCGGCGGTTGGGGAAACGAGTCTGGTGGGAAAAAGAGCGGTGAAGATGGCGGTTGGGGAAACGAGTCTAGTGGTAAAAAGAGCGATGGAGACGGCGGTTGGGGAGGGGATTCCGGCGGACGAAAGAGTGGTGGTGGCGGCGGCGGCGGCGGTGGATGGTGAAAAGACAAATGCATTAGTAGTAATTAGCTTCTCTCTAAATGACTTTTTGTTTATGCTCCTCCTTTTGTCTTATAACTTGATGGTTAATTAGTCTCTCGGTTATGTAATTACTTTTAACGTTCCAGGAAAGTCTTTCAAAGTGATTACACAATAATAATCTTAAAATCTCGATTAATTTTTATTTTGTTAACAAACTCTTTCCAAGTTTGTTTAACTTCTTTACTTACAGTCTTACAGACATTTGATTTCTACATTAAGCTTCTAGTTCTAGTAAATTACTTTGTAGGATTATCTTTACAAATTACTAAAAATTACAATTACTGAATATTTACTTGTTTGATTGACTTTAGCCATTTTTCTTATTTACTAGGGACTATCCCGGGCTACGCCCGGGTTTTGACATAGAAAATTTAATTAGTTTTAGGTTCTTTCATTATTTGTATTTTTGAGTATATAATGCATATGAACACCAACCATATTATCTATTACCTACTAAATCCATACTTTCTGAAAAATCTACACTTAAGCGAATTAAACTTATTTTATTCAAGCACTTTAATCTCGTGGAACATGCATAGATTTTTGTCACTCATCTTTGTGATGTTTTTTTACAGCAAACAGATCTTATAAAGAGTTTTATTTTTAAGTTAATATTGACTTATAATCTATTTTGTTAAAACAGAAGCACATTTCGTGGTTGCATCCAAACACTTCTAAAGTTTTTTTTTATAATATTTTATTTTATTTTTATATTTAATTTTCGAAAATTAGTTATTAATTTAGATATTTTTAGATTTCCCAAAATCTAGGTCATCTTTAATTTAAATTTCAAATTATTAGAAATTTATTTAAATTTAGTTACAGAAATTTGCATTTAATTTAATTTAAATTCAAAAAATTCAAAAAAAATTAAAATTAAATTTTATTACGAAAATTTAGATAATAATTTTAATACTGTAAAATTTCTTAAATACACGAGAGATTTAATTTAAAATTTTAAATTTAAATAATTTTTTTATAAAAATGCATAGTAAATAAATATTTTATCATAATCAATTGGTATAAAATATCAAATATTTAAGATTAATAAATATTTATATTATACAATAATATGATCGAGCTGATTAGAGTTATATATATATATATATATTTAAGATCCATGAGTTAATTTATTAAAACATGTAAGATATTAAGATGATTTGAGACATTAAACTAACTGGTTAACCAGTTTATATATATATATATATATATATATATTTTTAATAGTACAAATAATAAATAAATATCTTATTATATTTTTTCATAATCAATTGGTCCAAATATTCCATATTAGTAAATATTTATAGGGTTATGCAATTATAATTATAATCTTATACGGGTTAGTTTGTCAAAACATGTAAGATATTAAAAATGATTTAAGACAACTAAACGGATGGATTAGCAAATTTATAGATATATAGATTTTTTATATGTAAATCTAAATTCACATAATAACAAAGTTTATAATTCACAATAGATCAATGTATATTTAAATCACGCGGACTCATACACTACT